TGCTGCGAATTTGACACGCGTGGGACAATGTTGAACTGGGTGCTGTTTGCGGGCAGCCCGCGGTGGCTTCGCTGCAACAGAGACGGTGACCGCGTGGTCCCACGTGGGAGTTGTGGGAGACACGCTTTCACACGCGCTTCTGCGGCCGTCTGGAACGCTGCTCTGTTCAATATTAAGAAGCCACCGGCGCTACTGCACTTTTAAATGTCGATTTAAAATCCATTTCTTTAGAACTGAGTTTAGTTTGTTGATCCTCCCCCGCACCTCCGATTAGTGCGGTTGGCTACGTACGGTGCGAAAGAAGTTCAACATGCATACAAAGACCATCGCCAGACATTTGACCGAGAGCTTAAGATTCTTAGAATAATTTTTAAGTCACTGGCAACAGAGCATTTACAACCAGCATAATGCAAAATAAGTACAAATTAAGGTGATACAATCGCAGCGGTATAAAGAAAAACAAAATGATCACTCCTTTTGTCTTAAAATACTAGCACATCAAAATGCACAGTTGGCTAATTATTAAAATAAATCCCTTTATAGAAGTGAGAGAGATAGGGCAGCCCGATGGGTTTACAGAGACTGCTCTTTAAAATGTTAAAACGCGGCGCCTTTAAATCTCTGGTAAATGTTAAACGTGCTAGTAATGCCGACTTTGAGTAACACAAACATGTCGAAAGAATTAAAAGTGTATGCTTAGACTCGTTTGCAGACAAAAATGTTAATTTAGCCATATCGATCTAAGACACACAACTGCACCATCGGTGAACAGATAGCATAAAATCTGTTTGGTTCGTTGAGTGCCCGTAACATTAAACCGTTCTAAATCACTCTACCCTCAAATGTGTTATTAGAATCTCGAAAAGTGCTTCTGAAATTCGGAGTCAACAGAGGCTCGCATCGTGTCAGCCATGTCCATGGAAGTTGCTGCCACAGAACTACTTCGAGAGTTACTTCAATGGACTTCACCAACACCAGACAGCGCCCATGCTGTGTAGACGGTGTTCTATGAAAGTGAATCATCGTACGAAGCACGCGTTAATGTTATCCTTCAGAGATAGTTTCAAGTTTATTTTGTGAGAATTCAGGAGAAGTATTATTTGGAAGAGTGAGCTGGGTCACCAAACGTGACAAAAAACGAAACAAATTGCAGCAATGACGGAAAGCGATCGGAAAACAAAAACGTAGCGCACCAGTAGCACACGAGGAATTGAAGATAGTCGGTAGATAAATCAGCGTTAAATAAAAACTCAATAGTACATTACATGTGGCGCAAAATTGGCTCGGGCAGATCACTCCCAGATTGATCACAGTGGACAACGAGGCGACAGCGACATTCAACATGGATAGGCCGATGATATTTCTCATCATATGCGTCAACAGCAAAATATATGTTGACAACAAAAGCTAATTTGGTATAAACTAAATTAGACCATTGTTCAAATTTAAATGAGGTCGGTTTTTTTGGTGCAGTCATGGGTGACCAGGATGAGATCATAAACCCGCTGCACCTGAACATCTGAGCAAGCCAGGGTGACCGCAACCTGCGATCGAACGTCAGGATGTGAGCAGCGCTCGGTCACGTTGGTTGTGGCCCTCCCGTGGCGCACTGCCGCCACGCCAGCCGTATGCCCCGGTGGCCACGGTCAATCACCTCCACTTCCCTCCCGAGATGTGCTCACCTGGGCTGCGCCGTTGCCCGCCTCGCCCGCTGTCCAAGCCAGTGCTCCGATGCAGGCACAAAGGACCACGTGTTTGACCAATGCGTAGCTGCAGCGACACGGACACAATTCACTGCTTTACAACAAAATGGATGAAGGGTGTCCGCCAATAATGTCTACATTGAACGAGTGTCTTTACTGTATGTGTGCTTTGAGTGTCCTTGTTATGTGTGCTTTGTGTATACATGTACTGTTATGTGTTTGGTGTGTGAACGATGGTATAATGCCAGCCTCCATTATGTGCCCACGAACAGCACTTGCTCCAACAGTTACGGCTATCGGGGGATCTTTATCTTTTTTATAATCCCAAGAAACATGGGATATTGGGTCAAGGTTGGCCCAACGTTGCATGGTTAACGCCAGAGGCAAGTGAATTTTGAAACCTATCTTTGTTCATCCCCAAGTCCCCGATATGGCGTGTGAACATTAAATTAGTGCCCAATGTGGTGTGTATGTATGTGTTGAACTTTATTCGCACCGTACGCAGCCAACCGTGCTAATCGGAGGCGCGTGAACATTGGTACTGGGGAGATGAAGTCAGCCAGGAGTGGTCCATCCAACGCTCTCGTTTGCCATGGGAGCATTAATAGGCGCTCGCTAACAGCTCTCGTACCTCTGGTCTATAACCCGAAAGAGAGAATCGTTGTTTTGGATGTGCATTTTTTATATATATGTGTTTTTCATGAAGTTAACTTATATAAATTTATAATGTATATTTTACATGCAACTGTTATTTTCACAGATACATTATGGCAGTGCCGCCAGGCCATATTTGTGTGTATAACATGAAAGTAAATGCAGCATGTGATTTAAAACGTACGAGGACTTTGGATTTTAACATTTTTAACATTTTTACGGGCAATTTCAGATTATTTACGCTATGTTATTTGCTCACGAGTCCACACCCTAACGATATTGACGTCACCCCATGCCGCTATTATTAAAACTTTTCGTTATCATTGAGTGCTTGACAAACCTCCTGATTACACTGGTCAACAAAAAAAAATATTTTTTTCTGGCCTGGACTTTTGCAGCTGTTTTAGACTAATTTCAGGGTGCTGATTCCAAATCTGATCTCAGATTTGCTCTATCACATCTCATTTTTATGCTATCGGCATACCCCATTTTCATTGATTTTACCCGAAATTAACTGTCACTTATGATTGCAAGTTGTTGCGAGTCAGTGACTGCTTTAGTGTTAAAATATGGTGCTGTATTTTTAGGATAGTGTGTTTATAATATCATTTTATGTATATATCCACATTTATTTAATATTTTTCTTCTGCAGTTTTTATTGAAAAAGCAATATTTGATATCTCAAAACCCTGATGTGATAGACAAAAACTGATGCCAGATTTGGAATCAGCACCCCAAAATCACCTTAAAACCGTTGGAATACCTTATGCCAGAAAAGGTGTGTTGACCAGTATTATAGCTTCATTTTATTTACTTTAGTTTCATATACGTTTATGTGAGTTCTCAGATGTGCCTGCCTCAGCAATGCAGGGAAGTTAAGTTGCCTTTCTTGAAATGGTGATTGGACCCAGCAATGCATTGGTCCTTGTAGACTCACTTAAACAAATCTTCCCTTCGTACAATGTGCCAGCAACATTTTGTAATTTAACTTTTAATATCAATTAGTTTATTTAGTCGTAATGTTTTATGACTACTGAAGGTTTTTTTTTTATTACCCAACGAATATTGTTGGTAATTATTCATATGCTAATTAAAAACGGGTCAGAAAACTTTTAAACTAATTTCTTATCAGGCTCCATGGTATAAAGTGTCGTCTCCAACTATTATTAAAGTACACTCAATCTCTTTTATATTTATATATTTGCGCTACGTAGGACCATTGCCCAAAATGTCTCCTGTTATATATCTGTATTTATTTTTCCATCAGAGTTACAGTGTTATTGAATTTGTTGAATGTTTTTGTTAGTTACTGCTGGGAACCGTGTGAACTGGGCGTCATGGTAGCGTCGTCAATTCCGCTTTTAGGATCAATCCGATGCAAACTTTTGTTTCGTATCATCCGTAATCTCGCATCACGGCCTTATTTCGAAAATCCACAGCGCATTCTTCATAATAATACACAGCCGTATAGCGCATTCCTAATAACACAGACATCCTGACATCACAAGTGTTCAATTAAAGCGCACTCACCTCTCCATGCGTCCCGTTATGAGAGCCGCGATGAGCTTCGGGCACCGCCGCCTCGCGCTCTGGCCACCGTCGCGATCGTCTCGAGGGCGGCGAGCGACATCGTCCAGCCCTGGCGTCACCCAGCAGATCAGTGCCTCTGCTAGCCACGTCCGTTCACGCACTTAGCCGGCACCGTGCGATGGAGCGAATGCATTAGGACTCAAGGAAGTTGAGCACACGCGTGTGTCTATATATATATGTCAAGCGAGAACAATGGCTAACAGAACGGCACGAGTGTTCGCGTCTGAAATATAGGGAAAAACAACTCAAGATCGTCGTATAGGGGCGAGGAGCGATGGACGTGAAACAATGGCACGTGTGTGTGTGTGCATTGATGACAAATGCATTAAGCACGGGGACAGGTGGGGCCCGATGTGGGTAATAGAAAACAGCGCGGCGGCGAGACATCTCGTGAGAGTACCAGTATCATCATCCTCATCATCCACGACAACATCTCATGTGCATGGCCACTGACATCTTGACAAGAGTCAATACGGATGCTACATTCGGATGCGCCACGCTGCTTGATCTGCAAAAATACACGGGAATGTGGAATGTCCCAACCACCGACTCAGGGCTGCCAATGGAGATGTGCATTGCCCCCCCCCCCCCTCGTGAATGGCTGAGCGAAGGGTTAGATGAACATTCGAGTGATGATGGGCGCTTGCCAATGGGGAGTCTGCAGTGCAGGTCTGCAGTGCCGCAAGCCCAGTGACTATCTGGGCAGGTAACTTGTGTAATACCTTAACTATGCATCGTGTGTTGCCGTCACGTGTCTCAACGGCCCCTGGGGATAGGGGGCAAGGATGGCACGCGATGCAGAGAACATCATCGGCAATGAGCTATGCACTGCTGGATGAAGGCCTCCTGAAGGTGGTGCCATCTCTCACTTCTATCAGGACGCTACAATCCACGCAGATCGTTCTACAGGAGCAGATGTCACCGCATGACTTCTGCGACGGTGGACGTGACCTCGGCAGTGTCCCCTCCTTTTTGGGTTTAATTTATCCCCCTGCGAGAAAAAACTGCCCACGAATCACTGCGCACTGACCACCAAGTCACGCACACGCCATCAGCCGTTCATGGAATAACATTTATTGCAAAAGCCATGAAATTAATATTTTGCAAGGAGGCACCGTGTCTCAAAAAAGGCACAGCATGAACACACAAGGCCATGATTACAAAGTCTGGTAACAATATGCACACCGCCTGTATCAGTTTGCAACGTGCAGTTTTCTGGAGAGAGAAAAAAAAAACCGAACCACACGGATGTAGTATCACAACATGTCGCAACTTCCATCCAGAGTGTGAAGATTCCAAGGGAATGACTCGATGCCCGGAGCAACCCTAGCCACGTGAATTAGCAGCCTTGGAGTAAAATACCGACCTGTGTTTAAAGTCCACGTTTGAATAAAAAGAAAGGAATGGTTTTAGATCATATATACACACACATCTATCTGTACATCATGATTACAGACGTTAGGATGACACGTGGACAAAGACACTCTTTGTAAACAGCCTGAGACAGAAGATGTGCTTGTGGAGAAGACCCAGGGGGTACGGAGCAAGTGGTGTTCGTACTTTGGACATCATTAGACGCACTTGAATCGTTGATTGAATTGATATTGACGTATTCACGTGACCTTCATCCGAGCCAGCATGTTCACCCTACACCTTGCACAAGGCGCCACGTTCCATAGTCGTGGCACGGGGTGATGATAACAGTGTTCATAGTGCAAGGTAGTAACAACAAAAGGCATAGAGGTGAGAACTTTGAATTCGTCACCCACCAGTGTCAATAATGCTCACCGTTACAGCACTGCCATGCAAGGGGTCACACAGCCATACTCGTCTCCGGAACGACCGCTTGCTATAAAGGAATTATCTGCAAATTGCATTTCACCCGGGGGGTGAGGCGGATACTTATTTGGCAAAAGAACAGGAAAACAATTATTGTTGTTGCTGCCCGGCACAGCGGCAGACAGCCAAGAGCAGGGAACAACGTGTGCACGTGCATTGCGTGCCTGGTGTATGTTGGCACAGAGTAATACTAACGGGACAATGGAAGCAAGTCGGCAAGGCGTAGATACCGCTATATCTGCACCGTCGCTACACGGCAGTCTTCGCTGCACGCTGGCTTCCGTGCAACACAATTGTGGGTCCCAGTGGAAGTCACGAGGAAACACTTCAATGGATGAAATGGTCGCGGTTTGTGAAATAAATGGCTTTTGACGAATGCAGCTTCGCAGTGGGCTGAAACCCCGTCATAATTTAGGGATTTTTCGCGTACAACCACACACCGATCTGACCGTTATATCAAGATTTGAGGCGATAAAGATGCAAGTCTTATTCCAAGCCTTATTTGCCAAGCACCCCTTGTTCTACCAAGCGCTGTTATAGGACAAATCACTTGCAAGGCGATGCAGCCAGATGGCACCGCACACGGCACCTTCAGGATGCATGTTCATCCCGGGTCACCCGTCGAGTCAGCCCACCATCTGCATGGGGCGTTAATAATACTCATTGTTATTACTATTACATGTTTACCGCTTTGCAATGAAATTGGGATCGCAAGGGGATGTGAGGATCTCGCCATTATCTCACCTTGTAAAAACAAGACGGTGGCTTATACAAAGATACACATTTAGCCAATAAAAACCGTTTATACCTCAATGTATAACTGCTGCAAACGTAATGAGCCCGAAGGCTGATACTGTAAGGTATAGGTTTAGATAACCGGATCAAAGAATACCTTAATATGTAGTCTTAGACATGCGCTCCTGACTTGCTTTAAACAGAGGATTGTGATTTCTACACCTTTAGGATGTAGAACTTTGTGCCCGAAGCAAAGGAGATTCACAAAGTGTCAACTGCTCGGCTGTTGCACAAAGTGTCACACATCATCAACAAGGGCACTGAGTGTGGGGAGCTGGCCCGCTTTCTACAAACCGAGTCCAGAACCGAACAGTTCGCACATTTGCCATTGGAGAAATAAAAAATCAGCTCTTGGCACAATTTTGTGCCAACGCAAACACGACAGTGCTTGGGGAAACAATAGCAACACATTTTTGTTCAAAAATCCATTCCTCAGGATCCGTCAGCAGAACTGCTTTCAGGATTGTCCAGTTAAGGTGTGTGAGCAATGCTTCATGTAGCAGACACACTGACACGCATGGCTATTCACACTGACACACATGTAGCCGACACACTCACGCGCATGGAGACTATTCAGACTAACACGCATCTCGCCAACAATCTGAGACACGCGTGAAGAATAATCATCACACGAACACACGTGTAGCCGAAACACTGACAACGCAGGAAGACTGTTTACTGCAAGAGAAGTATTGGCCTTCGGGTTGGGTTTTGAAAACCACCACTTTCAAAAACGGAAGGTTCGTTAGGGCTCATCAAAGAACGTGAAAGCCCCGTGATGAACTGGAATGGGTCATTGCTACCTCTTTTAAGTCTCTGGCTACTGTGTGGTAAGGTTCGACAATTGCATGTTGAGATCGAGATACCGCACTGACATACGTGACGGTGATACGGCTATGGACTGTGGTTCCCTGGAACTCAAATGTGCAGAATTTGCTGGATCCAACTCGTGGCTGGGACTCAACACGTGGTGAAACGTGGAACTCAATGGGTCGGTTTTCCCATCTTGACAAAATGGTACACAATGGCATTGCCCGAGAGTATTAAACGGAGACGCCAGCCCAGCTTGTGTCCAAAATTAGGTGGAATAAGTGAAAAACACGGATAGGGGGCCTCTAGCTCGGTGTCTGGACGTGGAGAGCTTTTTTTTTTAAGTCTATAAGTGAAATGAATGCGTTTGAACAGGTGACATCATTTGGGAACTGGGCAGCCAAATCTCTTTGACGTGAGACTTGTGGCTGCGTGGTGAGTGCCTAGATTGGCAATCACCTGTCACCCGGTGTACCGTATTGGGGAGCGGTAGTGTTATGGTTAGCGCACTGCACTGCTACGAACCCGGTGACCAAAGTTCGATTCCCGCTCACGGTGAACATCGGCGATTAACATTTCAGCCGGTCCTGGGCCTCCCCCAGGTTGCCTCAACATTAAATGAGTACCTGGTGCGGTGTGTGACCATTAGCAAAGGCGGGCAGGCCTGATGTTGTCCACCGACCCCCTCGCTAACAGCACTTGCCCCAGCAGTCTGTTAGAGGCTACACGGGGGATCTTTGTCTTTGTGCGCGTGCACACATTCGTGCGGTTCTCAAGATGTGCAAGGCGGCGATAGTGGCGCGTGAGGAACTTCAGCTTTGTACGAATCGTCACTGGACACACAATGCACCACCGCGGGGCCCCCTTGGACGGTGGCTTTTAAGGAGACGGCATTTAAGTGTGAAGTACACAGATGCAGAGCCGAGGCTCTCGAGTAGTGAGGGTGCAGCTGCCGCTGTGACTCATTGACGAGCGCAGAAGGAAATGGTGCGGGCGCAATCGCGTTCAAGTGAATTGAACCTCGAGGGGGCTGAGCGCCCCGTCTTGCTGGGTGTCAACAATGAAAACACTCCGTTTAGACACGTGGCAGGGCTCTCGACACCAGCATCCATACTAGAGGTGTTCTTGAGTTAGATCGCGTGAATATAAATGTCGTGAAACCCGTCACCACCCGACATGGCGACTAAGGGTTGTCTCGTAAACAGAACGTGCCAATTCGTTGCTCGAACAGCACACCGCTTGTGTGTTGGAGAGTACTCAGATTGTAAATGTCGTGGCTTGGCTCTCCAACACACCGGTGTGCTGTACTAGTGACGAATTGCCATGTTCTGTTTACGTGACAACGCTTACTAATTGGCTGTGTCGGGTGGTGGCAAGTTTAACGACACATTTATATTTACGCGATCTAACCAAACAAAAACCTCTATTGTGGATGAGAACACCGATTGGGTAATGAGTGCAGGCTGCGGGGTTGTTGGAAAGATGTTCAAAAACACGATGATGGTGCAGATGTTCATATCACCAAAGGCTGACGTCAAAGTACAAAGTGCGAGAGTGTCTCTGCTCAAACGAACCTCCGATTAGCACGGTGGGCTACGGATGATGCGAAAGAAGTTCACCATACACACAATGCGTGGAACACATTCCCATTATTGTCTCTGGAGTGGTATAAAATCCTCATTGCTAAGCAGCGAAACGTTCTCTGTATAGGACGAATAGAATGTATTTTCCACATGGTACCGATGTTATTGACCAGTGCTAATCGTCACTCGTGGGTGACCACGGCGTGGCATGGTGGAGTCTTCCTAAGAACATGCAATGGATATCCTGACCCCTGCCTGAGGAATGTGGAAGTTCTACCATTTGACCCAGGGTGGCCCTCAGAGATAAACACTGCCCAGCGATGATTTGAGAATAAGAACACAATTTGTGTTGGTCTGAAACCTAGCCTTCCGAAGCTACACGTTCAGTGTTTTTAAAGATCAGTAGTTTGTTTGAATTGTGTTCATAGAAGTATGCGAATCCACGAATGGATTTTAGGATATTTAGTTTTATATGTTCATTGTTCACTCCTGTTGGTTTAAATGCCTCGTGCGGACACACACACACACAAACATGCATGCGCGCTATACCTTGCCATCCGTCCACCTTGTAAGTTCTTTACAGGAAAATCAAAAGCTATCCATCAAGCCCGGTTGCTTTGTACACTGTCACATCTAACTTGGACTTTTTGCAATGCAGACTCAAAGCTGTCCGCCATCGGGGAGGCGCTGTTCAAAAGCCGCACACCTCGGTGGGCCTGGAGGGTGCAGGCCTCACGCGGGGTGCTTTCAGAGGCCCGCTTATCATGCACGCATCACACCTCCGGAAAAATATTAGCGGGACTGCCCCAAGATATATCCTTGAAGTTGGGAGCCCAGATCGGAGCCGATCAATCCGCGTGAGAGTGGAAGGGCCGCGCTTACTCTCACTCCGCCACAACCGCATGCTGGTATTACTCTGGGCAAGTGCTGCCCGATGTGACACAGTGCAAGCATCCCCCCCTGGAAAAAGAGAATTGGAGGTATTTGTGGCAGACAGAGAGCACAATAAGTCATCCCCTGGTTGAGTCATCAGAGAGGAATTCATTTGTATGGGAGTTAGTGATGCACTGACTCTTCCCCTGCGAGGGATAGGGGTCATTAAGAGGTGGGTGGGATGGTGTGAAGCACTCGGGAATGGTGCAGATGTGTTCGGATGAATGACAGACGAAATTGTGTTGTGTAAACATCGGTGTTATTATGATGGTCCAATGTTTGAAGATACTTTCAAATCCTATGCACGTGAGAATGAGTCAATGGAAATGTCAAGTCTACCAAGTGAAATTGAGCGGCGTTAGTGTTTAGACGTGCATTTGCAGTAAGAGTTATGTCTATGCTGCTGCTGGACTGCAAAAAATCAAGAGAAAATCACCCTTTTAGTGCGCGTGTATCTGGAGTGGCAGGACAGAGTAAGCACCGTAAACATTCAGACAAGAACATGACAAGAAATCATTTTGGACACCAAGACAGGGATGTGATTAAGTGGGAGTGGGAGCACAGGTGCAGGGTAGGGGGGGGGGGAAGACGGGACGGGTTACAAAGATGGGCATTGTTGGAGTGACGCAGAGAAGTCAGAAACCCAAGGGAAGGTTGTGGGAGACTCACGGCGGACTCGAGAGGCGTTGACTATATAACAGTTGAGAGAACTGGATGAAGGAAGGAAGCCGTGAAGAGGTGGAATAAGCGATAATAACTTCTTGATCTTGAGCCACAAAGAATGTTTTAGTAACGCCTATCCCACAAACAGAAGACGCTTTTCATAATTATTATTACTACATATCAAGGAACGTGTGATTTTTAAAAATATATATTTTTTTTCTCAAATTCAGGCACAAACATCAGCAACAGGTGGTCTATACTCATGCAAGTATCGCCACGTGGTCTTTAATACATTACGTTCGCTTTACAGCAAAGAGCACCGGAGACCCGTTGCATACCGGGCTCATTGGTGAGCTGCGAGGCCTTCTAAGCCAACGAAAGTTTTGTTCCCTTTGGGGGACTCTTCAATGTCGCGAGCAGCGAGCACTCCTATTGAGCGGCCACAACAAATGACTGCTGCCGCCACCCATTAATTCACGACAGCGCCACGTGCATTATTACATCATCCGATTGGGTTGGTGGTGTTGTTAAAGCATTTAAATCTTGGATAAAGGGGTCAACTCGGCTCATATTTTGCATAATTCAAGGGCAAAAAAAGATCTTCCTGTGGCGTGATCAGGCCACGCCGCCTTTCGCCCCACCCAAAAGGAATGTGGAAGTTTGAGTGCCACGCTCAGGGACACCGACCGAGATGAGCATTGCCCAACGCTCGTTTGAGACAGCTTTTTTTTCTCCTTGACTTGCGCTGATTGAAAAGTGTTAAGGGCGCAGGGACGGTCCGCGAATGGCAGCCCCCGATCGCGTGAGCTGGTGCAGCGGACGTCCCTAGAGCTGTGGCACATGTCCCCTGGAGCCCTTTGGAGGGGGTGGAGGTGGAGTCCCCTTGCTGTGCTCCACTTTGACTGGCAGCGGGGGTGGTGGCTGGGTTGGAGACAAGAGTGACGAGTTATTTCGAGACGAGTGCAGAACCCTTTTGTGAAAACGCGTTGCAACCGTAAGACACCACTCCGAAGCATTCACGTTGCCTCCGAGTGATTTCTGCTATTCAGCACGGCGGTACGTGTGCAATATTTTGAAACTCGCAAATCGCGTGGTCTAACCCCTTCAACCTCCCACACTCCGCGAGAAAACAACACGCATGATATTTTAAGGAAATCGAGATTCATTTAGCGGTTTCTTCACAAGGGTCAGAAAGATCAACCACAAAACTGGAAGGTTTTATTGTCCCAAACGAAAGTTTCTAAAACAATAGAATAGCAAGGAACACATGAAACAGGAGTTATAAGGGCTCTTTGCTGGATCCTCCGTTCCTGTGACCTCCACCAGTGCTGGAAAACTTCAAGGTTTATAAGGCGCCTCTAAACACACTCTCATTTTTAGGAATCCTGCAGGGAGTGGTTATTCACCAATTGAAAAAAAAACGACAGGGCGAGAGGTCAAAATAGAATATTTTCATGTTTTACCCATGTCTTTAGGAACCACCCTCCTTGTGCAAGTGTGCACATGTGCACATGTGCGCGAGTGTGCGTGAGCGGGCGTACGCACACTATATTATTTTATTTTATTATGTTTTATTTTTATTATTTTATTACTTCCCTTCTACGTGACTTTACCGAAAGAACCAAGAAGACGGGCGTATGCAGTTGTGTATTTTTTTGTGTATGTAGGCAGGTCGCGATGCGTACCAAGGTAGAGTCGTCACTCCCGTCTTGGTTCGAGCTCTTCATGGGCAAGGGCGGAGGTTCGACCCCAACACCATCCACCACACTTCCTGATGTGAATATCGTGAACTCGGAACCTGGTGCACGTGGTTTACATTGCACACACTCCCATTAGCAGTTCAACATACATACATATACATACGTGGATATTCATACACATGCAGTTAAGCACCAACCACATCCACCCCCCCATTGATTGTTTGAGCAGGGAGCCACCCTGACTATTTTTATTCGAAGCACTCTACGTGGGTGTGTGGGGGAGTGAGCTCACACGCGCAGTGAGCTGGTGGGATTGCGTGCAAGTGTGCAAACGAGCGCCTGAGTGAGCGTGTGAGCGAACGAGCGAGCGAGCGAATGTGCACCTGCGCTGGTCGGGGAGAGCAGCTGACACTCCATGGACTGTGGGCGAGACGTGCCGGGTCCAGCCTGTGACTGAGGAGTCAGCGACAGACGGCGGTCACCCAGGGGGTTCACCGCGCTTCGTGGCCGCTGGGGCCTCTGCGGTGTGATCTGGAACATGGACGACACGGGAGGGCCAACGATTATGACGTTGAACAAAGGTCGTGGAGCTGTCGATTACAAGGATGGTTGATATTAAATTAATTTGACTGTAACCTAAAGTCTGGAGCAACAAGTCCCTCAATTCAGAACTTGATTTCGGTGCTCGTGCGGCAGTGGTTGTGGTGGACACGGGAGCCAGTGTGCCGCGTTATGAAAGCCTGCGATCGGAGTTCGATTCCCGCTCACTGCCAACACCGGTGAAGATTATCTGAAACGGTCCTGGGCCTCCCCTAGGTCGACTCATCCGTAAATGAGTACCCGGTGCGGTGTGTAACACAACAGCACTGGGGAGACACAGGTTAGGCCGGGCCGTCGATTAGGCCACCCACCCCCTACTGCTCGTGGGCCGTGCCGGGCGGGGGATCGTTGCCATCGGTGGCCACGTGGCGGTGCGCGTGGCCTCACCGTCTCGGTGAGCGTCACGACGTCGGCGGGGGCGCCGGGCTCGGTGAGGCGCGCCTCGCGCTCCGCGCCGTCGATGTGGCGGCTGCCGCGCTTGTGGCGCTCGCGCCGCTCGTCCTCCTCGTTGAGCTTGTCGCGCGACCGCGACAGCGTCCCCGTCGCGGGCTTCCTGGGCACCGGCGGGTCGATTCTGCGCACGGCGGGAGAGACGCAGACGTTCCCCCGCCGCCTTACAGACACCGGCGGCGCAAACGCCGTCCAACCCAACGCCGAGGCCTAGAGCGGTGGTGGGCGACGTGCGTACCGTGGAGCCCCTCGCCGTAGCACGCGATGTCAAGCGTTGCGGCCCACGGAGGTGAAGGAGGGGTGCTCATGTGCCCCACCGACTGCAGTCTGGGTTGCCCATCGCTGCTCTAGAGAGAACGCTAATGTACGTGTGGATGTTGAACTTCTTTCGCACCATACGTGGCCAACCGTGCTAATCGGAGGTGCGGGGGGGCAAGGACAACAAAAACTAAACACAACAACAAGCACTGGATGCCACCCGCACCTCACCACCGCTTTCTGCCTCTGACAGACGCCACAAGTGGCGAGGTCTGCCACTGCGGGACGCGTGCAGCCCTTCCTGCCAGTCCACCGCTAGACGAGGGCCTCCTGCACTCCCTCGCAGCTTGCGAGGGCCTGCAGGAGGCCCGCACCGAACCATGCCGGTCACCGCGCGGGATAGCGAAGGCAGCGAGTACAGATGCTGAAGCATTAAAGTGTTTGAACAACGACAGATTTTTGCTGCGCTGCCCTCTACCGCCTCGCCCCGCGGGACCCGGCGTTCCCCGACGTGCCGCGTCACGTCCCCGCGCTGACCACCAGCGGAGCGTCGCGGAGGGGGACTCCCTACCCGTCGCCGCCGCCGCTGCCAAAGACGGTGATGTGGGGCACGGCGCCGTCCGAGTTGTGCGACGAGATGGAGGCCACGGACGCCACGGACGCCACGGAGAGCGGGCGGCACGCGCTGGACGGCAGCGTGAACGAGCGCACCATAGAGCGCGCACGGCTGCCTCTGTAGTCCTCCAGCGCCGGCTGTGAGAGAGGGGGGGGTGGGTGGGGCCAGACACGGTGGCGACGGGGGGGGGGGTCAGGCCCAGAGGCGGCGGTCAACAGCAGCAATTGATATCGACAGCGGCGGCGGCAATGGAGATACAAGCATCAGCAGTTGCAGCATTCGAAGCAGTAGCGGGCAACATCTGAAACGGCAGCAATCGCAATAAATGCACCGGTGGCATGGCCCGACTGGCTGATTTACAGCTGGAGGCTTTGATTGAAGCTGCGATCAGACCACTGCAGTTCTGCGTGGGGCCAGCAGAGAGCAGTGCAGCTGCACGGTGCGTGCGCGGCGCGCGAGACTGTGAGGGATACGCACCAGCGCACGTTGCCCGTACTGCCGCTCCACCTTCTCGCGCAGCTGGCGAAAGCAGCCCTCCATTCGTTCGTGGAACGGGCGCAGCGCCTCCGACACCTTGTCCCCGTGGATCTTGATCCCAGCGCCCAGCATGGGGATCTGAAGACGAGCGGTCGTGAGGAGGCGTGGAGGCACGGACGCGCGGGCACGTGGGCACGCGGACACACAGAGACGCACGGCAGGGGAACGAGCGTACGGCTGCCAAGCGTGCGGTGGGCCCTGACGATAGACTAACTGCTGCCTCTCCACATTTGATGTGGAGATTTTATCTGGACAATTCAAGAACTGGCTGTTGCGTCAGGAACAAAGGTTGCTCATTGAGACCTGTGTTGTAACTTGTACATTATGTTCGATGATAATGATGATAGGACAATGGTTTGTGGCTTCGGCTACCGGCATTGCCCAGGGTATAATGATTCCTTCCCTTCGGGCTACAGAGAGGTTTGGCCAGAGTGCTGTTAGTGAGCACCCGTTGTACACGCACTATTATGGTGGATGTGCGGTAAAGCCAGCATCACGACCGGCTGCGCTTTTCTGTTCACCATCCTTGCTGACAAATGGCGCCAGGTACTCAGTGTCGGCTGATTTGAGGTAAGAGTGACACACAGACCAATCCTCAGTTTCCAATTGCCGCGTGCGTAGCCAGTTGTCTCAACTGGGTCACCGGCATCGTCAGCGTGGGAAGGATGAGTAAAATATCCATGTGAGGTGGCAAACGTGGGCCAGTTACTACTACTACTATTTATTTTATTTTACCAGTTAAGGCCCACTGAGCTATATCGCTCTTTTTCAGAAGCGACTATGCAATCGCAAATGATATCTCAATGAAGTGGCTTATCACGTGGAAATTAATATCAGCCAAATACTCTAAACGCATTACTCTAAATGTGGAGGGAAAAGCCAGAGGACCCAGACAAAATCCACGGGACCACGGGGAAAGAGACATCTAAACTCCAAATATACAAATGTCGGTGGTCGGTGGTCAGGATTGAACCCGTAACCTCCTGCATACGAAGCGAGGCAGTTGACATCTCGCTACCGTGGCGCCCCTTACCTGCCAGGCGATCAGGTCCTTGAGTTTGTTGATCTTTTCCTCATCCTCCGGATGCTCCCGCTCGTATTTTTCCGTAAAGAAAGCCTGGGTGGGGCAAGAGGGGAGTGGGGGAGGGATCATCGCTCATGTGAGCCCTCGGCCTTACAAAGGTCAGTGTCAAAAGTGTTTCCGTGCTCCAACAAGAATGGGGATGAAAATAACTCTGCTGGCGCCCCTGACATTGTAGTAGAAAGTCCGCATAACTGTTACAAGGGCGTCTCTGTCCGTAAGACAACCAACTCTTGAATTCCCAGATAGCGATGCTCCTTTTATCACCGCCCTTTGTATAAGAGGCTAAGCCATATAAATACAACGATCGACTTGCAACCTTCCGATTTTCAATGGGAAAGTCTCAAGGCCAGCATTGAAGAGGCAGTCAGCAGTACGTATTACCAGGAAAACAGGGTTCTAGACAATAGGAGCAGCAGAGGAGGAGGAGCAGCAGAGGAGGAGGAGAAGCAGTCTCCGGGTACTGATGTTGTGGACGGGGAGGGGGTCGACTGGCTGCGTCGACGCGTGTGTGCGGAAACAGGGAAACGCACGAATGTCCTGCGGTTAATGAGGCCGTGATATTGCGGTGGAATTTAATGAACATTTTAGAAGCAGGGTCTTTTCATTAACCCGCCGGGGCGATTGTATATGACAGGCCTGTTTGCTCTGCCACGGCCGGCTAATATTGCCATGACACCCACGGCCCAATTGCCCGTCACGAAGCGGAAGCTCGCGGCACCATTAGTTTCCCATCAGCGGGCGAGACGGCGGGGTTCAGGGTCCCTTACGGGACGGCAGGCATTGTCGTTCCCATACGCGTGGCACCGCTGTGGTCAAAGGTGACAATGAGGCAAAGGTCAGCCCCTACATACACTGTGCGCGACAGCTTCACGCGTTTGACGAATGTTTGTCCAACTGTGCGCAAAGTTTGGAAGAGATGTGGATATCAACATTCTGTCCCGCAACAAGTCGGCAGCTGCCGTTCGCCTTACCCAGACGGCGAAGTCGCGTTATTACCGCGTGGACAGAGTTAACCAACCTTGGATGGAAAATATCAGCGTAGGGGTGTGTGCATGCGTGTGCGTGCACATGCATGTGAACGCGGTTGGTGCCCTGCACGACGAACCCAGTGACCCGAGTTTGATTCCCGCTCACGGCCAACACCGGTGGCGATTATCTGAACCGGTCCTGGGCCTCCCCTAGGTCGACTCAGCCTCAAATGAGTACCTGGTGCGGTGTGTAAACATCGCCACTAAGGAGACAAAGGCGGTCAGGCTTGTTGCTGACCATCCACCCCCTCTCGTGTGCCACATTGCCGGCCTTCATAGGTGCTACTCCCTAACAGCACTTTCCCCAGCAGTCTGTTAAGGCGACACGGGGGCTCTTTGTCCTTGTGCGCGCGTGCGTGCGTGCGAAGCGTGGGGACCCGTCCACCTTCTCGTAGTTGGAAAAGCCGCCCATCACGGCGGGGTCCACGATGCCGTTGAGCAGCATGGAGAGGGGGTTGATGGGGAGGCTGCCATCGTTCTGGTGCTGGTTCACCAGGTTCAGGATCTTCTCGTTGGTCTTGTTCATCGTCTCGATGGCGTTCTCCAGCGGGCTGATCTCAACCTGAGCCGGGAACACAAGCGTGCACAGGTGCGTGCGTTCAACGTGACGATGATAATTATAATAATAACAGCAGCAGCTTCAGAAGTGGCTCAGTGGCCTCATAACGCCTGTGCCAGAGCACTAAGGTGGCATTGCTGGGGTTGGTGGACCATGCAGAGATCATAATGTGCAGTGAGACTCCCAACCACATTGGCTAAGAGTTGGTCAAGAGGTGGCAGTACAGAAAGTGGGTTTGTGAACTTGCCTGTGCAGACTTTTGTGCCGTTATCCCCCTGCATGGAGGGGGGTTTCCTCTAACACGTAAGAACTGGACAAACATTCCAATAATGAAGGGAACTCCAATTCGCTGTGTGGATAACAAAACCTTCAGGTCTCTGCACTGGGCTGAACTGTGTGGAAAAGCTTTTTACATTGCCTTAGTGTTAAGTTATTGGTGGGTAGTTCTCATAACTGGGTGAATTAATTAGTCACCAGTGGATTTCACATTTGGAATATATTATGTTAAATAAAAATGGCTGTAAGCGGATCTTGTAAAATATTTTACCTATCTTTTAAAAACCTTGGAAGAATGTTTCTGTGTTTCAGAAGTTTTCTTGATAAAAATGTTTTGGCCCGATTTAGAAAAAAACTGCAAACATGACCCAAACCCATACTGGCCTGCCTGACAAAGGCAATCCTAGACTATGAATATGTGCACACACACATTTATCACACACAATGCACAAATCCAGATCTACACACGCACACACCCAACGCACACACACCAACTCACAGATGCATAAACACTACTCAACACATTCGTGAATAATATCGCCTTATCACAGATGTGCTCTGAAGAAGGGCCAATGCCTGAAATGTCACCTATTACATATTTCCATTTATGGATGGGATATTGACGGATGTGTTGGGTTCTTTTTGTTGTTATTTGTGCTTGTGCAACGGACCTCAATTTAGGCCGAGTCAAGCCCAGAGTGACCCACGCCAGATTTTGATACAGATTGTCAATAGTACTGTGCATAGGATTGTAGTGAGGTATCGTGCTAACCACAATTTGTCGCGCACCCACCCACCGATTCACGCAGCCACCCACTCGCGCACCCACCCACCAACCCACTCGGACAGCCACCCACCCACTCGCGCACCCACCCACACATATCTCCCTTCGTCTTGTCACATCTCTTCAAGAGCCTCTCGTGCAATCGCCCCGTCTCGCCGTGACGTCCCTCCCCCGTGCCGCTAAGTCGCGCTGGAGCCCCCCGGCCTGCTCCCCCACCCCCCCTCCTCTCCACCCCCGCCGGCACGCACAACCGCCTCGCTATCCGCAACTCTCCACGCCGCCCACGTCCTCCACCAAAACTAGTTTCTTAGCGCATTCATTATTCAGAGCGTAATGCATATTGAACGCGAGGTCTCCTACCCCCGCCCTAATGAGGGCGACCCCTGGGATGGGCGGCGTAGCGCGCGCGACATCGCGTTACATTGTGCGACGTGCGTAACGCAACGCCAATTCATAGATACGTGGGGGGGGGGACGTTGCCTGCACGCTTTGTTAGCCGAGCGCCGAGGAAAACTGTGGGTGATGGGGAGGAGGAAGAGCCTGAGGGGAGGGGCTGGCTGGGGGCCACGAGTGGCGGGTGGGTGATGGGGACTTAGACAGAAGCAAGGGAATATTTTACACATAAGCAGATGAAAGCCCACTGAGACGTGGAAGATGTCCTTTTTACAATGTCAAAAAGCATGTCCCCCTACTCGAGCGAGCTCTCCTCTGTTTGTCGGTGGGTTTGAAGCAACAGCGGACGTCCCACCTTCCTGTGATGAGTGGGCCACTCGACAGGACGGTCACCGTTACTCTTGACTTACCGAACGTGGCCCAATCATGCGGATCTTGTCGTGGAGTGGTTCGTGCACTGCTCTACGACTCCCGGCGTCCGGCGTTTGATTCCCGCTCACGGTGAACACCGGTGACAAATATCTGATCGAGTCCTGGGCCCCCCCGAGGTTGACTCGGCTTTAAATGAGTACCTGGTGTGGTGTGTAAATGTCAGTACTGGGGAGACAAAGGTCGTGGTGCTGGCAACAACCACACTCTTGTGCGCCGTGCCGGCCTTCATAGGTGCTCACTATCAGCACTTGCCACAGCAGTCTGTGCAGTGCACAGAAGATCCTTGTGTGCAATGAATATTTCACTGTGCTATATTCAGCTGTGTTCAATTCCCTGGGTACGTGAACCTGTGGTGAGACTCTTCCTTGGCTAACTTAGGCCGATACATGAGTACCGAGTGCAGACACAAAGGCGGCCTCTTGTGCTACTGGGGACACCATCTCATGCCAATCACCCCTAGAGCATGAGGCGAGTCGAAGGATAATTATCTCATCTGTGTTTCATCACCCAGATCCGTTAAGCCACAACACCTGGGTCTGTCTGGAGACCTGCCAAGTTAGCCCCTGCTGTGGGCCTCAAAGTGCACCTAGCCTGGCGCAAGTGCTGTGGTTTCGTCAGTGTCACGTCGTGGTGAATGGTGATTGTTGTTGTCGCCCCGTGGTGTTTGTACCTTTGAAGTCTCAATGACTTCAAACCAGCGCAGGATTCCGGGCAGCCTGTACTCTGTGCTGTAGGTGGTCCGCTCGATCCACATGTTCTGTGCACGCAAACGCACGCAAACACACGCACGCCCAACACCAGGTTCATGTAAAGTGCATCTTGGCTCAAGGACTCATCATGTCAATGTTCCCTTCCGTCGACTCGATGCCGTTGCACAGTCAACATCCCACGAGGTAAGGTCAGCTCTCTCGTACCCCCCCCCCCACCCCACTAGCTGCCAGTGGGTTTCCCCTTATCCCACACATGATATCTGACCTCCAAGGTACGATCGTACAATCTCATTATCACCACCATCTCACTTCCCTTTGTTGTGTGCAAACTCGGAGCACCACCACCTCCTTCGTAGGTGTCTCGCCTGTCACTATCTCTCCTGAACATGTAAACAATGCTTCTATCGGCAATTATGTTCCGAACCTCCAAGTTGCTTTTCCTCTCCTGCCGTGATATTTCTAAGATCGACTGTCTGCACTCGTTACAATCTTCGTTGTGCGCGTCTGTCGAATCGCAAAACTCGGAAAGTTGCAATGCAAGAGGCACTTCGGAGACCAGACTAAAGTGTATTCAGAATTTCATGCATTTATTGATGACTGGTAAATTATAAAGCGATGCATTTATTAATCGCCGGTGTTAATTATAATTTAATCTGCGCGGCCAGGTGGTGCCGTTGGCGGCAAAGCAGTCGTGAGTTTGGGAAGTCAAAGCTCCAGTCGGGGCTTTGACAAAAGCCACCATCCCTCGGGGTCAATAAATTGAGTGAGGCAAGTTAAATGTGATAGTCTTCTGGAGAGAGAGCGCACCGCTATATATACATTTATATATACATGCGTATGTTAATATTTATATATATATGCAGACGCGAGCGCTGCTCCCTGCGGGGCCGAGCAGGGAGACACTCTTCGCCTTTTATTCACTTCATGGGAGAAATCACGAGCGAGTTAGTGAGCGCAACAAGCGGGCCTGGAAGTCGGAGCGACGAAAGGCGTGGGCGAGACCAGCGACTGACTTGAGGCATGGGAACTCGCGAGGGAGCACACGGGCAGGAAGGGGTGGGGGGGGGGCGTGAAGTCGGCTACTTACGGCAAACTCGTTGTCTGGGTCCTTGTCTCCCTTGCGCACAGGTCGGGAGTACGTGAAGCACTGAACCTCATTCACTTTGTAGAAACTGCACACGTACGTACATGCCAACATACAAACAAACAAAGATGAAAGCTTCCCCCCCTCCGTATAGCCTCAATAAGACTGCTGGGGAAAGTGCGCTGAAGCGAGGAAATGCCGGCACGGCACATGGGGGGGTGTGGGGTGGCCAGCACCACGCCTGGCCGCCTTGGCCTCCCCAGTGCCGATGTTTACACACTGCACCAGGTACTCGTTTAAGGGCGAGTCGACCTAGCGGAGGCCCAGGAGCAGTTCAGACATTCAGCACCAATGTTGGCTGTGAGAGTGGGAATCAAACTCGGGTCGCTAGGTCAGTACCTAATTGCATTAATCGCTGTGCTACCGCTCTCCACACGCACGCAGAGATAGCACGTGCAAAGACAAAGGACCCCCATTAAGCCGTGTAGGTTTCACAGAGCAAGTGCTCTAAGTGGGAACGGCACATATTAAAGCCGACACACGTACAAGGAGGGTAGTTAGTGAATCGCCGTGCATGCCGGCCAGCCTTTGTCTACCCAGTGCTGATGCTCACGCACTGCTCCAAGTATCTCAGCAATTTAGACTGCGCTCGTTTACAATGTTCCAGTGATGGAATAGGATTAGCAAACAACTCCAGACAATAGGACATCGCGTGCCCAAATCCGAGTTGGGATGCGCGGGCCTCATGCCGCACGCTGCCTTTGTTTGACTTTCAAGCATCAATCTGCAAGCGAGACCAGGTAACACAGATTGTCAAATCCTTCCAGCCCAAACGAGAAACACACGAGGTAAGTGTTCAAGATATTACAAGTCTCACTCGTTTTGGATTTCCTTCTGTTAAAAATCGGATATATGTAAATATTTATACCTGAACAGAAAAAAAATACAGTGCACCAAAATGTGTCACAGCCATCACGAGCCGATGCGACGTCAAACCAACAAGTCATCATGTCAGTCACGTGCATCTATAATTCAGTTGCTTAAGTCACAAGCCACAAGGATAACGTGAATTGCCTCGGGTAGAAACGTACCCTCGGCATGTGATGATGATTATATTAGCAGTGTCAAATATTTGATGAGTAAGGCTAAAAGTAACGATGTCATTTCTTGACGTGACTAATTCAATTCTTTGAGCTGCAAACCAAATTCCATTGCCCACTCAACGAATTGAATCTTGTGGGGGGTTTTTTCCCCGTAAAGTCTCACGGTCGTGACAATAGCGACAGGGTGGGTAGAACACAGATGTCCGTGCAGCACGCGGCACGCATTCATAACCGTCGGGACCTTTCACTTTCATCGAAGGTTTTTCAAAAGCATAGTAAAATATCTTCGGCATCAGACGGACTTCTGATTTATTCACATGTTCAGTTATTTACGTGCTTATATAATGATGCAGCCATTCATATTAATATTGAGATTTATTTATCTTTTACAAAAATAAGCATAAACTATAAATAACACGTAATTTTTTTTGGGGGGGTGGGGGGGGTGGGGGATTGACGCTAGAGAGTGCTGTCATTGTTGGCGTTGTGTTGGTCGTCCGCTCCATCCGGTGTCACAATATTCATGTGGTTCGTACGTACAAAGTGTCCGCAACAATAAGAGCCACCCGGCTTTGAACGAGCTAAACGTAGCCGCTGTCCCTCCCCAACGTCAACAAGACAAGGGAGGTAGCTGCGTTGAACTCCAGCGCAGCTTCGTCGCCTTGACGAACATCAAGCATCGCCGTGCACAAACGGGTTATTGGCTAGCGCTTGTCTAGAAAGGTGGACCTTAACCAGAGGTGGAAATTCCACTTTCCTATGACGGGGGCGAGTCTGTTGCACGACGAGCGTTGACTCGACACTGTGCGGTGCAGCCGAGTCAGGTGATGGCTCATCCCACCGAGCGCCGAGAGAGCCGAGACAATGACGACGGAGCCAACGGCACGAGTGTCTCATCGCGACTCTCTTGGCGCTAACCGGACGACGCTGCTCACCGCGCTCCGACATCACAACGCTAAGACATTGCGATGTCGTAACACGACCGCGTCAGGGGAGGGGAGGGGGTGGGCGTTAATGCGACGATGCTACCGTATTGCGGTGAATTGAACGCAGTACCTTTGGAGTTGGGGGTTAATGTCACAACGCTGCCGTGTTAAGGTTAAAGACACAATAGTGCTGGCTCGGGACGACATCGCCATGTCGCTGCGCGCGGTTCGTACGCACGTTGAACTTCTTTCGCGCCGTACGTAGCCAACGACGCCCAATCGGAGGTGCGCGTGTGGCGGGCATGCACACTCACTTGAGGATCTGATCGTTGACGCTCTTGTTTTTAAACTTGGGCTGGTCCCTCTGCAGGGGCTGAACGGTAAAGCACTGGATGTCTGTTGGTGGTCACAGTCAGGGGCGGCAACTCTCACAGGAGTCCGTTCACAATGGCCACCACGCCAAGGTTGAGGGGAAGCCGTAACCCAAGGCGCGCAAAGAGCTCTCGTGCCGTGGATACATAACAAAGAGACGGCACGTCGCTGGCTGTCCTATACATGTTAAAGAGTTTAAACAATTATATATACTTTATGGTTATGGCCAAGCACATCATTACGGTGCGTAGGGACCATCACTCTCGCAGTATAATACAATTCCAGTGCAGTGTCATTGCTAAACCGCTATTGCAATGTGCCTCACTATGGTTTCAAAGTCTTTTATTCTCCTCACTTATAAATATTTGAACTCTCATCCAATAGCCTGCAACACACGGCCAAGATATAGATCTTCAACATTAAACCTATTTGCTTTTTGAAGAGCATTTTATTTTAACGATTCCTATTACTTGACATCTGCGATCATACCTAAAGCTGAGAAAGACATTCTACGAAATCCTCAGAATGCTTAGGATTCTGCATGACGACCCTACGCTCAGAGCCAGACTCACCCATTAGTAGGCTGGAAGAGCCAGACAAAGTTACGTTTAAGATGCTCAGTGTTAGTGTCAAACGCTTACAGCTAATCAATGGCACCCGTTGGATTGTAAGGCAGCCAAATGCTTACAAAGCTAAACGATGGCAAGTTAATGGACAAGGCTGAACGGGACATCTCCGACATTCCCCCCCCCATGCGTAGAGGATTCTGTGGATGGAAGAGTGAGTGCACGCTATTTAATATGGCCACTGAAAAAAAAAATGCAAATCCGCAATTTTATAATTAACTTTGCGGACACCGTGAGCGATAGCGACACATCACATGCTGTGATGCACGGGGGGCATTAAGCCATAAAATGTCTCGATTGGCCAAGATGGATCGATAGCAAGATTGCCGATTCCACCGAGGGAGGGACGTGTCCTCCCCGTGTCCTCACAAGCGGCGCGGTGCGAAGGTTGCTCCAGGTGATCGGTGCATGCCTGTGACCCGGGGGCCGAAGAGAACAGGGTTGGTGGATCACGCCAATTTGTGCAACTCCCTCACCCGGTGGGTTGCGAGGTGGCCAGAAGATGGCAGCACAATCCGTGTGCCGGCTCGCCCGGGGCCACACAGGGGGGCAGCCGCCCTCGAATGTTCGACGCGAGCAGGGCGCACTGACATGCCGAGGCAAATTACGCAAGCGCCACAGCAATGCAAAATATCAAACATATTCGTGCGTATGGAGCGTTCCCGCATCCGGCTAGGCCCGGGTCTTTCTGGCGCCGCCGCCGTGGAGGATACTCTGCGACGGAGCGCTGCGCACGTTCTCGCCGGGCGGACTCGTCGTCTTCATCTTCTCGGCGTTGGGGAACTGGGCCAGGAGGCGCGCCTCGAAGTCCTCGCGCCGCTCGTACTCCTTGCCGCGGTAGATAAACATCTTGTTCTGTGTGGGGGGGGGGGGGGGGGGGGGGGGCGATCGCAGGGTTGGCGGCATGAGCTGAGAGTGGTGGGCGGTTGCCACTTGCGGGGTTGCGATCACCCATTACCCAAGCCTCAGACTGAAGCGCCCTTAGGAATTTAAGTTGGAGAGTAAAAGGTGAAAGTGGAGCCCTGCAAGTTCTTGCGCATAGCAATGCTGGCTGAAGAGGGAGCTCTATAGAGCCGCTCTCGAGCGTAACTTGATGTACTCTTCCACAATGGGCGGATGTGTTGGACGAGGTGGGTGGGGCCCACACTTTACCCACCTCCCAATCGACTGCGGTGCGCTCGTTATTATTGCTGCTGCCTGAACAGTAATAATAATGAAGTGATACGCCACTTTGTTGTGCTATCATTTGTGGCCATGTCGCTTCTGAGAGAGCTATACAGCTCAATGAACCTTACCTGGTAAAATAAAAAAAAGTTTAGTTTTAAATAGTTGAGAGTGTGCATGAGTTCCATCTGCCATGCCTTGCAGTGGACACACTGGAAAGAGAACCGGGCGTCGTGTCACCAACTGGACATGGCGCTCCTCCCCAGCACCGCACAACGCGATCACCCGGGGAAGGGCAAACGTGCCGAACGGGGCTCACGGACTCAAGCGGGGGGCGGGGGCTGGCGGGGTTTGCCCCATCTGGACGCGTTGATTTTGTTGGGCCCATCTCGACACGTTGATGTTGTTTGGCCCATCTCGACGCGTTGATTTTGTTTGGCCCATCTGGACGCGTTGATTTAGTTTGGCCCATCTCGACGCGTTGATTTTGTTTTCACGCTAAATGAATAAAAGTACAAGGGGGCAGCGTGGCTCCTCACCCGCAGGAATGACGGGAAGCCCTGCCCAAAGTAGCCCACGGCAAAGTAGTCTGGCTTGGGCCGCATCACCGTGATGATGTTTTCGTAAAACTTCGCCTGTCGTCTCTGTGTGCACGGACAGGCAGAGCGACAACATTCACTTATTTATGATCAGGAAGAGCCCACTGGCTCCTGCAGTCGCTCTTATATAAGCTGCGGGTTGATGTAAACGCAACAACAGCAAACAAATTCCAACGTGTAAACAAAACAATGCAGAAGGGCACAGACATCTGACTACAAAACAGTTATATATATAACACCGAGCCAGGATACGGAGACAGCGATTCAGCCAAATAAAAATGTGACACCGAACACTGCCAAAGTTGAAGGTGCCACGAAGGGTGCAGCGCACGTGTGCAGGCAGTGGCGTGCTGGCACACGACTCCACAGCCCAGTTGTACACTGAACAGCGTGGTACACGGGTGTATGCTTAGCAGCCGGCACACGTTCCCACTGTGTATTTACCTACGAGGGTGTTAATAATGCTTTAAGTGCTGGCTGGAATGAACGGATCGTTCGTTGTGCAATTCAGCCGTTGTGATTCATCGACGGTCAAGTTAAAGTCAAAGTGTCTCCCTGCTCCAATGAGCACTTGAAGCAGCGCTCATCTCCAGCGGCAGCCTTAAGCCAGAAGTGGAAATTCCACATTTCCATGGCGGTGGCCAGTCGCTACATAGGAAAGCAGCTGTTGACTTTTTACCAAGTGGTACTTATAATATCAACCTCAGAAAGAGCCAACCTGTGACTGGGATTTGATCCCAAAACTTCTCTGCCGAGGAGTCCAGTGAGGTTAAACATACGAGCAAAAACACAATCCAGCGAAGCTATTTGCTGTACTGCTATGTAATGACGATCTCTGCGAGATCCGCCAACCCCCACCTCAAAATCAATGCATCACAGATGCACAACGACGGACTGGGCCGCAAAATAACACAAATATACGTACTCACCAATGGGCCGCAAAATAACACAAATATACGTACTCACCAATGGGCCGCAAAATAACACAAATATACGTACTCACCAATGGGCCGCAAAATAACACAAATATACGTACTCGCCAATGAGCAATGCTCACTCAGCCAACAAGATCTCTACTAAGGCACTATACGCCAAGCTGCACGTTGTGGCTATTCAGTGCTGTGAGCCGAGTCGACGAGAGATGCAGTGAGGCTCGTGGCTAACGAGCGTCCCCAGTGGAGAGGCCCCCGAGGAGGTGCCCACCAGGATGTTGCTGAGCTGCTCGTAGTCGAAGATCTCCGTCTCGTACTGCTGCGCCAGCTCCTTGCACAGCCCAATCGCCTCCTCCCACATCTAGAGAACCGCACGGATGTGCACGCGCACAAAGACAAAGGTCCCCCGTATAGCCTTGGCAGATTGTTGGGGGCAAGGGCTGTTAAGCGAGCACCTATGAAGGCTGGCACGGCATACGAGGGGGTGGGTGGCCAACACCACGCCCGGCCGCCTTTGTTTCCCTAGTGGCAATGTTTACACGCTGCACCAGGTACTCATTTGAAGCTGAGTTGACCTAGGGGAGGTCCAGGACCAGACAATCTTGCCTGGCGTTGGCCGTGAGAGCTCGGGTCACTGGGTTCGTAGCGCAGCATGCCAACCGCTACACTAACTCACGCACGCACAAAGGGATAATGCATTAATTTAATTCACCCACTTTTCAATTCATTGCTGAATGAATTCCTCCACAAATCTTCAAGTTATGGGGTTGTTTGACCGTACCTCACCACACCAGTCAGTATGAGTTGCTTAACGGGGGAGTGGGTGTGCAGAATCAGTTTAGATGCACTCGCCATTGATATAATCCGTGGCTGTGAATCAAACTCGGGTCAAAAAAGTTCGAAGCACGGTGCTCCAAACACTGCACCACTGCCGCCACCCGACTAAGAGTGGCCAAAACCGCGTGGCCTAATCCACGAATTAAGATACAACACCAACGCACATGGCCGTGCCAGTTGGCGAGATTGTCACTGGCATAAAGCTGCGTTGGTCCCTGCGCCCCGTCAATGTGTAAATTCTACTGCTGGCTCAAAGCATCCCAATAGAAATGAGCGCTGCCCCGCTGCTTGGAGCACCGACGCGCTCTGACGTTTGACTCGGCGCTCGGTGGGTAGAGCAGCAGAGCAACTGATATGAATACAAAAATCAGTTCAAGTCTTGGGCATGGTCAACTGAGCTGGTCAACACTCGCGAGGTGGATACTGAGAGCACGGCCTATTGTGGCTGCTCTCCATGGTGAGTGGCCACTTCACGTAGAGCAGGCTCGCCTTGCCAAACGAACGTCACAGGAAGTGGACACGACCCATCAATCATGCGAGCGTGGGGACACAGACTTTGACTTCAGGCACTGTGGTATTGCGTCAGCTGTTGTAGCCGTGTTTGACAGGCGAGCCAAGTGATACTTGAACTATTCCCGTGCGTGGTGAAGTACGGTCACACGACCCCCACGGCGTGGCGGGGGGTGGGTTGGTGGGGGAGGGTGCACATTCAATTCAGCAGCGGATTGACAATTGGCCATAGATCAAATTTTAAAAAATCATAGCCAAGGTCTGCGTGTACATTTCTAGACGGTTAAACCATTAATTACGACAATAATGTGGGCAACCATCCCATTGCAGGACCCTCCTGAAAATTAATATTGAGACTCAATGAGTCTTGATGTGTACACCAAGTCAAATAGGTGCCCTGCTCAAACAAGCAATGGGAGCAGCACTCATCTCTAACGATGTCCTTGACAGTGGCGTAAAGTTCACATTACCACGGCAGGGGCTAGTCTGCTCCAGAAGAAAACCACTGGACCAAGTTGTTATGGATTTTACTTAACAGCAGTAGAGATATTTTAATCGATAATAAAATGCACACTGGCATGCATGCACGTGCACAAAACCACTTGTACATGCATGTAAAACAAAACACATTTAACATCAGACGCAACCCAAAAACAAAAAACCGGGTTCCTATTTGATGGCAATATATACTATTAAAAAATTCGGTTGCTTGAATTTGTGTCAATTTTCAAAATTCCAAATCACCTCTAATCCCAGCTCTGACTACAGGACGGTGTTGCCACAATTATGGGTCTCAAATTCCCTTACGAGTGCCATCAACTAGCAGGCAGTGGCTCCCGGCATGCACCACGCATCATCGCTGTGGTCATGGGGGGCTCTCTCTCGGCTTGCACACGGAGACGAGGATTAGAGGACGGACTCCGGTGCGGCTACGACACCACGAGAGGGAGCTCTGGCAGTGACACCTTAAAGTTACTCGCAAACAAACCTCCAAACGTGTGTTGGCGGCCCAGGATACGCAACCCAAGAGTACACACATTATGTAAGTGGTTAACTTGGTTTTTTTTGGGCTGCGTCTTTAAATCCACACACACACAAGCACCGGAGCATTGACGTAAAAAACACATTTGTGCAAACACGCGGGAACGGCATGACGGCACCACGGCACACAGGGCACCAACAACAGAGCGTGCCACCATTCATCATAAACCCGTGTCGTACTGTGGGGTTCGGCTCCTCTTAAAGGCCCCCATCGCCATCTCCTGCGCATGATGCAAGGGCACGCACGCCACGCGGAGGGTGAGTACAATTTCACACGCTCGCCGTCCTGTGGACGCAACCCCCGGCGGAAACGTGGGGCACCTGTGATGATGACTGGCAGAGCAACGCTTGGGATCAGCGGTGCCACCACCACAGCCGTTCTCATGGGCCGTGTTCAGCTGCTGCACTGTGCTCCTGTCACGCGACGTCTGCCTCCGAGTAGACCCGTCAACGGTCCTCACACGGTGACTACAGGCGTCTAAAGTCAATAGGTCATCACAGCTAATGCCGTTGACGACAGCACACCCTTGCTCACACTTCTCTCCTCCTGCCAGATCCCACAAGTTGTCGAATGGTTGAATTCAACCTCAAAGTTTTGCTTATAGAGCATCCTGGAACAAGGTCTCCCCCCTTGGTCATCGAGACCTTGGGTGCCACGCTGACGCCGGCCTGGGCTAGCTGCCGTCCTACATCCTGCAGATCCACCCCCGCCATCGCAGCGCCCCCTCGTCCTCACCACATCTGATAACAAAGCTTTGTTTACAAACACAGCACGTGTGGTAGCGATGTGTGACAAAGAGTCAAACGGTGGTAGCCAAACGGTGAGTAAGTGGTAACGATGTTATTCATATAGACGAGCCAAGGTAACCCCCGCCCGCGCCCCCTGAGATTTGACCTCGTGACCTTCCAACTGCGAGCCGGGTGCTCTGACCACAGTTCCAGCGAGCCAGATTCAAATGCCATCAGGAGCCCTCTAGGAGTGACCCGGGGTTTCCCTCCCATCACATGACAGTAAAGGTGGCATTCTTGCCTGGGGTGCACTTCCAGGGCTGGCCGAGAGGGTTGCACCCCGCCTCATCGTGAGAGGTGTTGCACCACACCTCCTCATTGTGAGAGGTGACGCACTACACTTCCTCACCCTAAAAGGTGTTGCACTACACTTCCTCACCCTGAGAGGGTTACACCACAACCTCCTCACCTTGCCCTTGTCGAAGTAGCCGATGATGTCGCCGTAGAGCATCTCCTTGAGCTCGCGCTGGGTGTTGCCCTTCTGGGCTCCTCGCAGGTTCAAGTGCGACGCGCACGGATCGTCCGACCACTGGCGAACGAAGGGAAGGGGAAGGGAAGGGGGAAGGGTGCCGGCAGGGCAGCGACGTCACGCAACGAAGCGCGATACTTCGCACGGCGATTGAGTTTTAGCCGCAACACAGTACTATGAGGCCAGCCACATTAAGAGGTAAGGTGATACTGCACGTTACAAGGCGATATTTAGACAGCAAAAAGCTCAGTCCTCCCAGCATGCATTGCACGTCACGTTAGATCACCATTCTGCGCGTGTTTAATGCACAACGGCCTTGGTGTAGACCGCAGACGATTTTAAATTGTGGCTATATTATTTTAGTCAGCACTAGGGCAATGGGCTAACTGCCATCATTGCCTCCCGCTGCCTGGTGAGACTGAACGCGGTACAATCCTCACTGCCAAACGGCATCCACGCTCGAGTGAGAGTGGGGCGGTGTCCATCTCCATTGGCTGCCCTGAGCCAGTGGTGGACAACGTGAATTCACATGCCGAGGACCACTCTTGCCGACGAATAACCGCTGTCGATTTTTCCAAGAGGTGGTATTCGTTTAGCCAAACCCGGAAGTTTTGATACGATGATCCGAACCCCAACTGGGATTTCAACTCGCACACTTCAGACTGTGAGCTCATCACTCCAAGCACACTGGGCCACGTGGGAGGACTTTACATGCAGAACGATAAATCATTCAATTAGGAGGAAAGCAAGGGCCCATTGGACGTGCTCACTGCAGGAACCCTGGGGGCTGGGCACGTTTGGCTAATGGGGGCCAAGGTTCAGGATGAGGAGTCAATGAGGCGAGTGAAGGAATGTTTGGCTGCAACGCGCGCGGAGCGCACGAAACGTTTAACACAGGAATTTTGACAATCAAAGTCACGCGCAAAAAAATGTTGCTTTCAATGCAATGATAAAAAACGCACTCTTAAGTCCATTCACATTGCGAGTGGTTGCACAGTCCCGTTTAGCAAGCCGCTAGGCAAAACCGTTTCGTTATTTATGATGGGTCAACAAATTGTAGAACCTTAATAAAAAATCTTCGCCGTAACTTTCTGTGCTTCCGCTTAAGAGGTCTTTTTTTTTTGCAATGAAAGAATAATATAATTTACATTTAATTTATTTAAGCAGCTGAAATCTCGGAGTTTTTTTTTTTACAAAAGCCCCACCTATTGTCAGCATTATTTTTCTCACGTGAATTGCTATTGCATGCACGATCTCGCCAACCATCCATTCAGTCTCAGATTTATAAGGACTGCTCCACTCATTATTTGACAATCACAAATGGAAACAATGCACAGGCATGCATTTAATGCGACGCGAATACATGTTTAACGTCCGATGCTTTTTTCTTACAATATTTGACCCTGACGGCGCTATTCGCATCACAAGCTACGAGACAAAGTGTAAACTCGCAGAGCGATGCTGGAGAACAGCGCTCGGTGGTGGATCTCACAGAGCAACCTCTGAGGTCCGCACTGCCACCCAGACTAATGTTCGTTGCATGATAGTAAAACCGATATTGAAAAAAATTCTCAACACTTCGTCACATTAAGTGCAGAATTGTATTTAACGTGATCAGTAACATTGATGTGGGGTTATTGGCGACTGTGGGCTGAGACCATCAACTCACGGAACCGGAGAAATGGGTTTACGCACCCAGGATCTTAGCGGTGCCGCTGAGTGCGATGATTTCTGAGCCACCAGGCATCTCTTCAATCTTATACATTTTAAATTATTAATACTGTAGCATTTACTCGTGGTATAGTCTTGTTCGTTTGCAGACCAAATATTTTTATTGCCATTAAATAAATTGCATTTATAATGCAAACACTTATTAATTTACATTTTATTTGTAACTACAGTCATGTTTTTGAAACGGTGTTTTTGCCTCGTAGCGCTTTGCAAAATCCAAAATTGCTTCTATTTTGCCGTACTTACTAAACCTCAGGCCTCCCTCAAAAAAGAGATTCTCGGTGCAAAATGGGTTCTTCTTACCATGTTGCAAATAAAGGTCATCTCTTGACTTATCTACCTCGCTAGCGTTCCAGAATTTTAGGGGCGATACTCGCAGCACAAGTTCGGAGCAACGGTTCTCCGCTGACTATACGCGATGAAAGAACGAACACCCGCAGCCCAGAAGTCACGACGGCACGCCACTGGCATCTATTTGTGATGGTGGTGGTGGATGAGGAGCAGTGTGGGGTTTGCAGAAGCCTCGCCTTCAGCAGGTGGGTGTAGAGCAGCAGCGTGTACCCGGCCTCCGTGTAGTTGTCGCACTGCAGGTGTAGGTCGTGCAGCTTGTACAGGTACCTAGGAGGCAGCAGCATTCGACCACTTGCTCACCGCTTTCTCTGGCACTGCGTTCCCAGCAGACCTTTCCCCATTGCTTGACACACGCAGTGGTGCGTGAGGGGGGGGAACTCATCGCTCTGCGACAGGCCTGATGTGCAGGCACGTATCGGAAGCCCTATATTATACATTTTCTTTTATCTTTTGTGCACAGGTAGCCAAGGTGGTTCAGTGGACCAATATCAGGCCTATTTACAGATCTGGAATCGCGTGTTTCAGCCACCAATGATTAAACTGGTTTGTCAAGTATTTTATTTTGTCTGTCGCTTAATTCAGACAATCCAAATTTGGAGGATTAAAACAAATGGTTGATATCCATGCAAGGAAATATATAAAGATGCACCACCAAGTGTGGGTAATAAGCCTATTGAAGAGACTCCAGAAGTAATTCTGCTACATCCTCTTCTGAGGGCCAACCATCACCGCAAGGTGATGTTCCACCACTCGCTGTCCCGCGTGGAGACCACAACAACGCGGCGATGCCCATGGCACGACTGACGCAAAATGAGGAAAATAAATCCACGAATAAACCAAGTGAGAACTAAACAATCCATATCCAATTAAAAACGCCCACACAAACTCATTTGTCATAAACGTTGCCTTAAAAGGGAACAATATAATATTGGCAACAAATAGATTATGACGGACGTGTGGATTTTTTCTCTTTTGTGCTTGTGTGCACCACTGCCAGCAGCGTCACCAAATACTTAGTGTGGGAATGAAGTCCGTTCTCGTCGACCTCTTGGGGGTCAAACTCAGGGCGTGGCTCAACACTAGAGGCCTCCCTGCCCGAGGCACAGCAGCCACGGGATCTCTGATTTACGAGGACGGCGGCGGCACTGCCGCTGCTCCGAGCCAGCCAGGTGTGTCCGCGAGGCTGAGGGTGCGCGCGGTCCGGGCTTCGGGGAGGCGTCGGAGCGTAAATTGCGAGCGACGTCAAATAAATCAACGCAATTTTTCCGTAGAAACAGTGCGGGCTCGACGCACGCGCTGCGTAGGAAATGCACGGCCGTGCCGCCGCAAATAATTTAACACCGGCCGCTGGATTTATGCAGAAATCCTAAGCGTGTGGCAGCAGATCAGTCGTATCTTTTTATTGTGTGTTTTTATATGTGGCAATGCGCAGAGTGTTTCAAATTAAATGTCACACCCGTGGCAGGGCCTAGGTTTGGGAATCGTGGTAGGGGAGGAGGGAAGGGAGGAGTAGGAGAGGGGTAGGAGAGGGGCAGGAGGAGGAATTTGAAGAGGATACCTATTCATGGAGAATTTTTGTTTCTCCAGAAGGAATTTGTTTTCGACAATAACTGCATGACGATTGCTCTTCCAAGTATTGTTGGGCACGCCGATGACTTTTTGGAAAGTGGTGGTTTTGGGATGATGTTGGAGGAACGGGAAGGTGCCCCAGCCACAGGAACTCCCCTGGCTCATTTATTACAAGGCAGGAGTTAAAAATCCTGGTCAGAGTAAACTCAAGCAATAATCATCAACATGATCTCACCAATGGTTGGTAAAATGAGTAACATTTGTTGAGGCTAACCACTTGGTGACCTGGCATAGGAATGTGGAATGCCTACCCTTTTGCTCAGGATTCGAATTTTAATTGAGCATTGCTCCAACGTTTGTGAGAGCAAAGTGGCTGATGACTTTGAGAGACGAGGACACGTGGGGACACAACGGTCAATTGTTGCACGTGCAGTCAAGTGTGGAACACATACACGGTTTGTTGTGTGCGGTTCTTAGGCACTGTGCAGTCGGGCAGGCGCTGTGTTCAGACCACGCAACTCACAATCAGAACACCGAGAGCTCATGAGTTTTGGTGCCAGGCACGGTGGCTCGTTGTGCTCACCGTATGTAGATCTCTTCCCGCTCGATTTCCTTGTAGAAATTCTGGACAAGACAAACGCAGGACACCCGTCAAACATCATTCTTTTCAATGTGATTGAAGGCTTCAGAGCTGTTATCTTGTTTGCGTCATACGTTCTGTTGCTGTATGACCCTGTACCGTTACCATTCCATTGTAATGTGCACAGATGCCTACTTTATTGAGGGCGACATTGGCACGTAAAATGAAGATTGATTGATTGGCATAAACACAAGTTTCTGCCTTGATTATCTCCCCTCTTGAACATGTCTTGGATCCTAATACAAGACTGCCTGAATACGCCTTGACAATACGTTTAGAGGTACACTTCTCCAATGTAACTGCAGCAGTGTAACAATCCACCACCCACCCGTCTCTTCACGTGGCCATTCGACAAACTGTCACTGTTCAGGGAGTGGGATTCAGTTCACAAACAGATTCCTGTTGTTGCTTATTTATTTTTCTTTCCCTAACGCTGCGGTGGACGTAGCAGCCAGCGGTTCCCTTTGGGAAAGGTGACGCGAAACCCATGACATTGAACACGAACAGCACAGAGAGAGAAAAAACACCTCGATTATTACAACAGGCATTTCGATTGCATGTGCCCTGAACTCGACGGTGGATATTAACTGGCACATTTCGCGTCCCCAGTGCAGCGCATGTGAGAATTACGACTCCTTGGTAGCAGGGCAGCCTCGGGGGGAGAGAGACAAAGAGAGAGACACAAAATCCGGGCCTGCGTGGTGGTGGTGTTGGTGGTGTTGGAGAGGGGCGAGTGGTGAGCACGGCACGTCGTCCACCCACCAGCAGGTTGACGGTGCAGCTCATGCGGTTGTCCATGTTCTCGTCGTGCATGATCATGCGGTAGTCCAGCAGCCGCTCCAGCAGCCGCTTCACCACGATGACGAAGCTCTCGCCCGGCTTCGCCAGGTACTTGTGCCGGCGGCAGCTGTCGAGGAGGCTGCGGCGGAGAGGCGACGGCACGCGGGGGGGGGGAGGTCACAGTGAACGGCGATCCTTCGGTGTGTCACACCCGACAGCTCCACTACCTCTGCTTGTCACATGCTGCACCTATGCTCCGATGTTCACCGGAATCGTGCAATAACTCACATCTTCTCGAACAGGACCTTGTACTGCTCGTCACCCTTGCCTCCTTCCACCTCGTGGTCCAACTTGGTGATGATCTCATTCTCAAACTGTGCACACGGACAGGGCCACAAATGCCAAAGGGGACCCAAATCACAGGCGTGAGCAGTTGTAAAATAGATGAGGTGGGAGATCGGCTGAGACATGATCATCGGGCACACACATACACATGCAATGATATTTTTCCAAGCAAGTTGACTCAACAAAGCTAAATCTGATGACAAGGTATTGCTCATTGCTCGCGAGTTGCTTAGGACTTCAAAAGGCGTTCGAAAAGGCTCAATCAGTAAGGAAATTTTACGTCAGGTTTACGAGTGACGAAGCTTCAATTGATACCGTCAATCCACCTGGCCTTGATCGCCTAACAAAGGGTCAAGGTCGAGGCTACGCTCACCCACCACAACCCTGGCTTGGGATGATGACTGCCACCATTCCATCCCCCCGCTACGGATGACCATGAACACGTCCGTTTGAGATGACAGGCACGAGCGGCATTGCGAGTTCAAATTCTGGTCGGAGGTCAACTCACGCCATCATCCTTGTGGGGTCAATGAAATGAAGCTCCGCTCTTACTCCGCTGATGAGACACTGTATATATCGACACAGATGCAGAACGTTGCTTGTATCCAATTACTGCTCCTGAAATTATGCATTTCCAGAAGGCTGTGCGGGCCGATGCGTTATATAAATAAATACCTTCATATTTTATGTGGATAGACAGATGGATATATATAAAGGAGGCATATCATCTGTTCATTTTGTTAGAAATGTGTGTGTACACTCCACAATGAGACCAATGATAATTTGTAGTTGCTGTATTCAGTGGCATCACAAGGGTGAGTCTGGAGCCTTGGTAGACTCAGGAAGGGTTGCTGCTGTTTCACGGCACTGACGCTGGACAAACTGTGTTCTTCCCCACGAACCGCTAAGCCACTCGGTCGCCACGAAGCCACATGCAGCTCACGGACAAATGTGCTCTTGGGCTCGGTGGAAGAAGCTTCAGTTTAAATGTGAAATTTAGGAGTCAAGGCACGAATTGCAACACGTACAATAAACTTTGATTGGTGCCAGTGTCATTTATCTCAACCTAGTTAAGTCTTGAATGATGCCGATGATGCTTTTGACGGAGGGTCTCCTGCCAAAAAAGTAATATCAAAGAATTGTCTTTGCAATTGCATTTTTTTTTCCACATGCAAAAAAAAATCCCTAAAACAACGAATCGGCAAAACATTGCAATTTAGGACGCTCTTGAAAATAAATCCTCTCAGTGTGGATTATATCGCGAAACTAAAAACGTTCACGTGTTCATTCTGTTTAAGTGAGCTTTGGCCACTGCTTATATGTTTTGGTGCGGAGCCAGGGACATTGATGTTATATTTCCTATGGAAGGGCCAAGTGTTCGCACTGTTAATGTCCTGCAGAGGGGAGGTCAACAGTGATGGGCTGAGTCGACCTCTTTGCCGAGATTTGAAATGCAACCTTCAAATTGCGGAGGCAGGCGCTTCGCCACGCATCCACCCACCCAAACAAACTGATTATTACATTAAAGTGTAAAAATGGAAATGTTACAATTTTCAGAGGCACAATGCTTCACATTTCCCAACCAGCGCGGCGTCTGCCAAGACATGCGGTTAAATGAAGCCACTCTGATTGATGGGCCTGGCATTACAGGTTTGTGTACTTTTATTGCTATATTTAAAACCCGTGCATCGTGCGTGCAATTTGCTGACAAGAGAACAAAAACAATTCACAAACAAAAGCAAACAAAGAGCGAATGAGGAGCAAGGAGCGGTCACGTTCTGCGATGTCAGAGGGCACTACGTTCCCTGGGTTTAATGGCACGTCCCCGCCGGCCGTAATGATCCTGCTGAAGGAGGTGGGGATGCCATCCCTGATCAAACTAAACTATAAAGTATAACTGTATTTTATTTTAACCACACCGAGCTACATATCTCTTTTTCAGAAACGATCTGGCCACAAAGGATAATTCACCGAAGTGGCTTATCGCGTGGAAATGTATATAACAGCCAAATACTCGAAATGCGTGTTTCTAAATGTGGAGGGAAAAGCCCAGAAAAAACTCCACACGACCATGGAGAGAGACAACATGCCAACTCCCGAACCCACAACCTCCTGCATACCGGGCGAGGCAGTTAACATCTTGCTACCGTGACGCCCCTTGACAAACAGGGCCCCTCCCCTTGGCACTGGGCCCAAGTGGTGGATCTAAGTGAACACCGTCAGTTCTCTTTGTAGAATTCGTTTTGAAACGTGGTGGCATGGGCAGGGCTTATTCGAGAAAAAAATACGTTCTCACTTTATTATTTTTCATCCATAATTGAATGGCAAAGCCTTGACAGATTATGGCAGAGGTTCAAAAGCCACTCTAATTTCGCCAGCCATTATAAAATCGCACTAAATGAGAAATGAAGCCGTGCAGGGGGTGGGGAACGGAGAGTGTAAATACAACACATCCTATACACCAGGGGTCTCATCTCCACCCACCGCCCTCGGCCAGTGGCTGGGGTCAGTGGCTGGGGCAGTGGCTGGGGTCAGTGGCTGAGGTCAGTGGTTGGGGTCAGTGGCTGAGGTCAGTGTCTGGGGTCAGTGGCTGGGGTCAGTGGTTGGGGTCAGAGACTGGGGTCAGAGACTGGGGTTAGTGGCTGGGGTCAATGGCTGGGGTCAGTGGCTGGGGTCAGTGACTGGGGTCAGTGACTGGGGTCAGTGGCTGGGGTCAGAGGCTGGGGTCAGAGGATAGGGTCAGTGGTTGGGGTCAGTGTTTGGTGGTCAGTGGTTGGAGTCAGTGGTTGGGGTCAGTGGTTGGGGTCAGTGACTGAGGTCAGTGTCTGGGGTCAGTGACTGGGGTCAATGGTTGGGGTCAGTGACTGAGGTCAGTGGCTGGGGTCAGTGACTGAGGTCAGTGGCTGGGGTCAGTGGTTGGGGTCAGTGGTTGGAGTCAGTGGTTGGGGTCAGAGACTGAGGTCAGTGGTTGGGGTCAGTGGTTGGGGTCAGTGGTTGGGGTCAGTGGTTGGGGTCAGAGACTAGGGTCAGTGGCTGGGGTCAGTGGTTGGGGTTAGTGGTTGGAGTTAGTGGTTGGGGTCAGTGGCAGGGGTCAGTGGCTGGGGTCAGTGGTTGGGGTCAGAGGTTGGGGTCAGAGGTTGGGGTCAGTGGATGCGGTCAGTGGCTGGGGAAAGTTAAAAGTAGCCGCTCGCAACGTCCCACAAAGCATTACTCATGTTAGTAAAGCTAGGGGGGGTATGATGTCATATTATTCTGTATTTTTCTGAAAAAATCTCACCGTTAAGTTTGAGTTTTTGATATATCAGAGAAAACTACAAAAACTGAAAGGAGAAACCCCACGAATTCAACGTTCCAACAACCAAAAGCTCCACACAGATGAATTCAAGAATCCATTTTCTATATTTTAATCTCCTATTCTATTTACGCGCATTGCATTATGTCCAGGAGCAAAATGCCAATGCCGAGGTCTGCTCGCCATGACGAGAGAGGGCTTCAGGATACATTTTGTGCAGTTTTGCTGCTGTTCCTCCTCCGCTGAAGGAGCACAAACTACAGTGGTTTACTCTTTGGTCCAAATGGATGTCATCTAACACGTAAATAATTACATGGCTCGGATCTTTGTCACTGTCGTCACGAGCAAAGGTGCCCGAGAGGATAAAATCAGCTCGTGTGCGCGCCGCTAAATGGATTGCGACATCGCAGGAGCGCACGGGGTGGCGACGGCTTGGGAAGGGCTTCAATCATCAGTGGATTAATCGTGGCTGATGACGATGATGATGGCACACCTAAAATACTTATAATAGCCACTTGTAATGCGCACAGTGTCCGCTCACTGTTATAGAGGCGTGAGGAACCGCAGACAAGCGAGAAGGCAGCCATGCAATGAAATGGTGCCAACAATTGCCCAAGTACTGCAGTCCTCTATATGTTAAGGTGTTATCGGTCAATTATTGTATGTTTACATGCCGGAGGAAATCGGTGCATCCGGAGAAAACCCACACGGGTAAGGGGGAAACACTCTATCCAAGACAGACAGAACGGGTGAGTCCACATTATTGCTGTACCGCCTTCTCCTGCCGATCTCTGGTACGGCTTTTCCTCGACACCCACGGACAGGGAGTTTCACAACATTCATGCGGTGATCCACCAACCCTCGCCGCCACAGCGTGGGACTACAGACCCGTGCGTCACCTGCACTTTTACCGTGCGCATACCCATGCCAACGGTGTACCAAAACGCGCTTTGCGTAACGATGCTGTGGGCCGGTTGGCGCGAACCTTCTTGAAGGAGCCGTTGAAGTGGTACTCGCACTGCATCATGTCGAAGAAGATGGGGATGGTCGCCTTGCGTAGCTCGGTCTCAGGGATGAGAGTCATCTCCAGGATGGGTCCCACCATCTCGGGGATGAAGCGGATCTTGTGGGGACCTGTGCGGAGGGGCACGCGTGCACCACACACGTGACTAGGGATGCAGCAGAGGCACTGCAACCACAATCAGAAGGTTGTTTTGTTGAGTTCAAGTGCAAGCTGGCGGCTGACTCGGATAACCGCGTTTCCGGTTTCAAATAAAATGAGAACCGCTCTTTGGGAGGTCTGACAGCGGTTGTCCTGAAGAAAGACTGGCCTCTTCCAAAGGAATGTAAAATTTAAAAAGAGCAGTCCCTAAAAGCTGAACGATCAATGTTTTAGTTGTGTGTGGTGTGTGCAGTAATAACCTATTATATGTACGTTGAACTTATTTCACACTGTACGTAGCCAACCGTGCTAAGCCAAGTTACGGGGGAAGGACAACAAACCAAACACAAAAAGCAGTTATGTAGAAATAATTTTCAATCTAGATGATTTAAAAGCGCATAGCTCCAGCATGCTTCCTAATATCGGAAGGAAGAGCGTTCCAGCCGACCGCAGAAGTGCATCTGAGACCAGCAATTTCCCTACTACCGAGACCCCGCTCGGTGTTTGGGTGGTTGAAACGTAGATTTGAACCCGGGAAGTGTCAGCGACGCTGGCTCAGTAGCTCCGACGTGGCCATGGGGAGCCCCCAGAGCCACTCGGCCACCTCTGGATGCGAAAAAAGACACTTTAATCAATTTTAATATTTGCTCCATTAAAACGCGACCGATCGGCGGTGCGGGTGGACATGCAGTGCCCAACATGAAAAATGCTTACGTTCCCTTTGCAACACAGCTGGCCATCCAAGTAATGAGGTCAGTGCTAATGTTCCACGCTGGGGGATTTGTGTAAGCGTGGGCTGACTGTAAATGCCGGTGACCAAGCAGCCCAGTGCAGCGCACGCTGCCACTGGGCCGAGTTGAATCGGACATTGTCTCCAGGGAATTACCAAAGTTTGCCACCTACTATTAAACATGAAACATCTAGGAACACAACGTGGAAGAAATGTACGATGATCTCATAAGCCATATCCCAAAAACTCATTAAAAAAAGCTAACAAATGTCCTTCCTAACTAACCGTCAGAGCACTCGCCTCACAGTAAAAATTCTACAGGTTCAAATCCTGATCGAGGAGTGACTCGGCCTCACTTGCCTCCGGGGGATACATACATTTACACTTCTTTGTGAGAATTCGACAGTGGGAAACCTATGGGGAGATTGACCAACCCCTACCATGGAAACATAGAATTTTCACCACTGACTGATGTCTGCAAAGACGAGCGCACTGCCACACTGCACACGTGAGCAGAAATGTTTTCATTATGACTCTGAAATTTCCATAATTGTCTAGATCTCACGCAAACACCGATGATGAATCTCAACGCTTCCTTTGCGGTGGAGAGGCGAGAGACTGGACGAGAGCTGGTGGGGCCCTCCTGCACGTTGCTTGCTGCAGCAGGAGGGCGATGACTCTTGCCTGCGTCCACGTGCTGAGGTTCTGTGCTGGGATCCCTCCGCGGCCGTCTCGCTTGTGTTCCCAGGGTTTCGAGGAGCTCTCGGTAAATGCCGTCCATCCCGGCAGTGTCAAACGTGGCAATATTGGTGGCCAATATTGCCACGTTTGACACATAGGCCTTTATTATGGATAATATTGCCACGATAATCTCCTCCAATGTATATCGGGCACATGTTACGTGGGATGACGCTGGGCACTGCTGGAGGTTCCTGCATTATTCTTTCTGGACCTCCCGTCCTGTGCACCTTGCTTGATGGGTTTGTTTGATGTCTGCATGTGTGCAGCGACAGTTCTCAGACATCTTTCCTCGCTGGGCCTTTGTGGGGTCGGCGGCCGCCAGATGTCGCAGTAATGCCCCCAGGGCCTTGTGGCCGGAGTCACTGAATTCCCAAGACTCTCATGCCACATTTCCATGACTTTATTCGGGCAGCCCCTATGTCCATCCGGGTTGCCGGTATTTTCGATTCTGGAAGCCAGCGTGGAATGTAGGGGCTTCCTGAATCCATGAGGGATGTGATTATTGGTAGTGCCAGCGTTCAGCGCTTCGAGAAACTGATCGAACGCACTACCCGTGTGTCACACACGGGTATATCTAAGCGTGCAGATGCCCCGCTATGTCATCACAAGCCCTCATCTGCCAATTAATGCACAGCGGCGCGTGCCTTGCGTGGCGAGGCACTGGCTGTGCACCGCTCATGTTTTATTTACACCGCCCCCCCAACCCCCGATCATCCGCCACCCCCCGCCCCAACCTCGGCTTCAGAGTGCACGTTACACCACGCAGGGGATGCATGGAATTGAGGTGGAGACGCGACGGGTCATTCCGGCAGGAGGCTGCCCGCGGGGCACGTCCGTGTGTCGGGCACGGTGCCAGAAACAATGAACACTCATGCTGGCGCTGGCAGCGCTCAGCACGGCCCCACACAGTGCAGCCACCAACGTTAGAACGACGACAACAACAACGTCTCCTTTGTGTGACCAAGATTATTGACCTTTGAACATTCGCCGTGTTTTTATTTTATGTTTTACTCAAAACATCAAATAAATAGGTGCTTCTTGAAAAGAAAATGCATCCTACTGAAGACAAATATTTACAGCTCCTAAAGTTGAAAAATATGTAATTATGCAGTAAACAGCAAGAATATATATTCTATGGTTCTTTCGGTAAAGTCCCGTAAATAGAAAAATTATAAAATAATGAAAATAAAGTTAATACAAAATAATAATATATATTTATATTATAAATGAATACAATACATTTTCAGATTTACAAACACAATTTGGGATATTTCAGATTTTCAGATATTTACATTATGCACGAATAACAAAAACAAGTCTATGATTGCTAACACGAGTGACGTGACCCATGGCACGTGACACCACTTTAAGTTGGAAAGGCGTGGAAGTGATGTCACAGTAGCGATGTCATTTCTGGTCTTTTGATCAATCCCATACTAGTTATTTATTTTCATCCTTCAAACTTTTCATACACAAGCCTTCATTTTCGTATTCATTCAAATATTTGGAGCGCATCCCCAGTATTCTATTTAATTCATCTGTAAGAGTGGAGTAATTTTCTGTTATCCTAATTGGGAATGTTTTCCGTAGTTACGGAATTAGAATATTTTTTTTACGGCTCTGCCAATCCACGCGATGATGGCCGTGTGAGTTATTTGACCCAACTTCACCATGTTAGTCAGCGCCGGATTAAGCTAGTGCGGGGCCTGTAGCACATTTTATGAAGGGGCCCTAAATAAATAAAAAAACACGTAAATATTAACACACATTTTTTACTTGCATAGTAAAGTAATTGTATTTTTTTCATTTTGCTATACAGCCGGATAAAACGACAAATTGCTAACCTTAAACACCCAGTCGTTCATAAAAGTTGAAGGCGGTATAGTACTATAGTAATAGAGCAAGTGCAGAATCACTGAACCGGAATTGACAGCTTGAAAGCATTTAGCGCGGGGCCCTTTAAAGTGCGTGGCTCGTAGCATATAGAGGATAGGATAATCCGGCAACTGATGCCAGTCATTGCCGTTTGGTGAAGAGGAAAGGCTTAGAACCAGTTCCAATACCACTTCGCCACAAATGGTCGCTGCGGCTGGGAACTCAACTCAGGTGGCCGGGTTCAATAGCGCGGGACGCTGACCACTGCGGCACTTCTACTTTCTCGCATTGAGTACCTGAAGGGGATGGAAGACACTATATAATAGCAGCCAGTCCGTCCGTAAAAGACAACCACTTTTAACTCTCAGTTAATCGCTACAGATTGTAGGGGGGGGGAAGCGTTGCGAGCAAGCGCCCAACGAAGCCGCGACGCTGCTTGGTGGAGCAGCGGACAAGAGAAAACACCACCTTGGCAACCTCGGCACTGACCGCCAGGTACTCAAGGAGGCTGAGTTGAGCCCGGTGAGTCTGCAAGTCATATTCGGCTTGTCACTGGGGTGTGCTGGGCCAGGAATGAATCTTGGGTTGATTGGATCACAGCGCAGTCCGTGCTAAACACCACTGGAACACTCTCGCCACTCTCTCGCCATCGTTGGCTGTTGACTCGCCCTTCTGTTATTGCTTCGACTACCACGGTCGCTGCTCCCACGAGCATCGTGCCTTAATACCGCCTCTAACCTCAGGGAGTTGTTTCACTCGATTGTTTCTTCCCATCGGCGACGTGCTAAACGGCCACGTATAACGGGACAGAACGTTTGCGTTACACCTTTGATTCCTCATATTGATCAATGTTGTTTCCCCCCCAAGCTCTAGACACCTTGCTCAATCGGTGTGTTTGTTCGGATCTGTTGCGCTATGACTCGCACTTTCACGTTGCTGGCTGCTTTACATTCCAAGCCTTTAGGGTTGCCTAAGCAACTGCAAATTATAAGTATTCGTGCGAGCCATCGGTGCGCACACCACGACACGATCATCCATGTGCGCGCGCACCCGCTACGCATTGTTTACAAAACATAAGCGCGAGGGAAGAGATCGGTCATAGGAGCTGTGACGGGGAAAGTAATGACTGCGGGGTTGAACTTTAAAAACCTGACAGCCAAGTCTATGATTGAGGAGACGGGCGGCGAGCGTTCCATGGAGACAGGTCGACGCCCGTGCAAGCGGTGTGATCAAAGACTGGGCGATTAGTGGGGAGTGGAAGGGGCAGCAAGGCAATGACCTGCCGCGGTGACGGTGTCAACTTGCTTTCGGGAAAATAAGGTCATAATCATACTCGGGTTGGAAATTATAGTGCTGTGGTTGCCTCAAGTCAAAAGTCTGTCTCATTAAACAAGCATAGATTCGTTTTCACCGACAGTGACAAGCGTCGAGTAAACCGTGTCATTCCACAATGCTGCGACGGAGGTCACGTCTCTCCCAAGGAGAACCACAATGGACGTTTAACTAAGCGGTGCTCATTTTATGAATCCAGAGGGCCAATGGGCTGGGTCAACCGCTAATGGAGATTTGAGCAGGCAAAGTTGATTGCAGATCAATTGCTCTCACGGAAGTGCCACTGGGCTAGAT